CGTGGTCAGCAGGACCTCGTTTCTCCCTTTACCCTGACATATTCGAATTTTTCCTTGATAAGCTAGAGCTTGAAAGATATCCAGAATTTTTAAAAAGAGATTTAGAGAAGAATGGTCATTATGGATCTTTAAACAGCATGAAGAATATGCGTAGCTTTGATAAATTTCAGAGATTGTTTGATTGTTTAAGCCCAAGTGACCTTTCACAAGATAGTTATCATGCCCGCTTGTGTTCTCTAAAAATACAAGAGTATTNACCTCGTTTCTCCCTTTACCCTGACATATTCGAATTTTTCCTTGATAAGCTAGAGCTTGAAAGATATCCAGAATTTTTAAAAAGAGATTTAGAGAAGAATGGTCATTATGGATCTTTAAATCAAATGAATGACATGCTTAATTTTGATAAATTTCAGAGATTGTTTGATTGTTTAAGCCCAAGTGACCTTTCACAAAGTAGTTATTATGTCCGCTTGAAATCCATAGAAATACAAAACTACTCAGGAAATTATGTAGATGCAGCTAAAAAGCTTTTTATACACATATGGACGAAAGAGGGGTTTGATAGTCATCGTGCTTATGTGATAGAGGAAGAGGTAATGGAGTCATCTTCCTACCACCTTTATAGAACACTATTACTGCCTTGGGTGGAGAAGGGTTGTATGGAGCCATTATGGNAGATTGTTTGATTGTTTAAGCCCAAGTGACCTTTCACAAGGTAGTTATTATGCCCGCTTGCACTCCATAGAAATACAAAACTATTCAGGAGATTATGTAGATGCAGCTAAAAAGCTTTTTATACACATATGGGCGAAAGAGGGATTTGATAGTCATCGTGCTTACGTGATAGAGCGGGAGATTTTTAGAACACTATTACTGTCTTGGGTGGAGAAGGGTTGTATGGAGCCATTATGGGCAGTACTAGATAAACTAGATGCTAATCAAATGAAGGAGTTTATGAGCTGTAAACAAGCGAATTATCTACGTTCTATATTCGAAAAGGGAGATAA